GGGTCTCAAAGTGGTGACGGAGGAACTTCTCCTGCTCAGGGGTCTGGGGTAAGGAGCCACTGGCCAAGCCCAGCACTTCAGGCTGGACAAGCTCTTCTATACTTGGGAGCTCTGGATGGGAACAGGGAGGAGAGAGGAGCTGTCAGCACTGAGTCATGGCAGACGCCACTTAACAATGGATGGAGAAATCTAGACTCTCTGCCACACTCGCCTGACCTAGTTGTCACCAGGCTGAGAAGGAGATGCCAGTTTTCCACTGAGGAAACGGAGGCCCGGGACTGATAGGGGTCTTTACACCGGACTTACCTGGTTCGGGGGGCATCGTCATGGTGAGGCGAAGGCCAGAGTCAGTCCGTGAAATTGAGAAATGAGCACTGGCAAAGCTGCATTCCGATTCAGCCTCCGACTCCCCGGAGTCTGAAGGAACAGAGTGAGGGTCAGGAGCCTGCCCTAAGTGAAACAGGGCATATCACTCAGCTGCTTTGGCCTTTGTTTCCCCCATCTGGAGGATGGCCGTGACATGTACCGCCCCACATTTTTATGGAGTGAGTGGCAGAGCTGAGAGCTCGGCCAGTGGGCTCAGCATGCTCAGGTGATGGCATTGTGACCACTGGAGTACTGGGCCAAGGCTACTCCCAGTGCCCGGAAGGGGCCGTTGTAGAGCATGGGGTGCCTGGTGCTCCCCACTTACCCTCAGGCGGGCTCCGATCCTTTGGACTGGCAGAGGACACCCTGAGATAGGAGTCGCCTTGCTGGTCTTCAGGCCCTGCTTCTGCCTCCTCCTTGTAGTACTCCCTGCGCCATGAGGGGTGGGGTTACCCTGGCAATTGCCCAGAACCCAGGGGCCCACACCCTGCTCCCAGAGCACACCACGGCTTCTCCTGCCTCACAGAAGAACCCCTCATCCAACCTGTCACCAAGTAAACCCAGGCTGCAGCTGAGCCCATCTGACCCATGCTCACCCACGCCCACTCCCACAGGCCACTGAAGTTACAAACTTTTTTCCAGGTTGGGCCTGGCTCCCGCTCTCCAGCGATGGCTCCCCCTCCCCCTCCCCGGGGGATGGTGCATAGGACACTCACCTGTGCATCCCTGAGACTATCACCTCTGCCTCTGGGGAGCTGAGGATGAGCTCTCTCGCCTCGGTGGACTGCCTCTGTAGAGGCAGGCAGGAGGGGTGTCCTCGACTGTCCTCTTGGGGTCTCTCGGACTGGGGGTGAAGAGCAGAGCCATTCTGAGGGCAGTCATGACACCCAGGCCCTGGAAGGCTGCCAGTTGTTCCGCCACAGTGGCAGAGGAGTGATCCCGAAGCCCCCACTGCCAGACACCAGGTCAGGGACAGGGTGAGGTGCAGCACTCAGCCAGACCTCCTCCTCCACCCAGGCGCCTCTGTCTCCAGGACAGTCAAGAATAAGCAAGGCGCTAGCTGGTGCACGCAGCGGCAAACATTCAGTCCCAGTACTCGGGAGGCAGAAGTCTCTGAGTTTACAGCCAGCCTGGTCTACGTAATGAGTTCCAGGCCAGCCAGAATTACACGATGAGACCCTGCCCCCAAAACGATGACGGAAAACAGGCAAAGCAGTTCATGGGGAGAGGTCAGGCTCCCCTCAGGCAGGGCTGGGGATATTGACTTGGGGTCACAAGAGATTTTCCAGGAGGTAGAAAATGCTATGTGTGGTGAGGGTGGTAAGAATCTGAGAGACACGGGTCGCTCACCAAGCCTCCCCCCGGAGCCATGTTCATTCCCGTGTGAACACTGTTCCATACATCTTAGAAAAGGAAAGGGCTGCCCTCTGGCAGAGAGGAGAAGAGCCGAGCATCTGTGAGTCCTCGGGGGCAGGGAACACAACAGGACCATTTGTGGAAAACTCAGGAGAGAGGCAAGCCTCTTAACCTCAGGTTACAGAACAGGGAGGATCTAATCCAGCTTCTGCCCACTTGAGCACTCCCCACTTAGAGGAAAGCCCAAGCTCTCAACCTCTCAGTGGCCCTCTACCACAGACTACTTGTTTGTCTCGACAGTCATGCTGTACACTGGGCATGGGCTCACCCTCCTGCCCTCCCCCCCCCATCTCCTGGAGCCCTGTCTCCTCCCCCGAGTGGACAGCCACAGTGCAGGGCCTGCTGGCGGGCGTGGGGGGCAGGCTGTACCTCGCTTAGCAGGCCCAACAGGTTCTGTGGCTCCATTAAGTCCACAACAGACTCTTCTGCATTTTCAGACTTCAAGGGTGTAAAGTCGAAATCCAGCGGGGAGGCATCCAGGATGGTCTTGAGGGGCTCCTGCTCAGCCCGCTCTGCCCAGCGGCCATGTGGCTGGTAGCTGCGCTTGGCACGGAAAGCCGAGTTGTCTGCCACATCATCATCCCCTAGCTTGAGGGACAGGGACGGTGGTCAGGCCACGTGTTCGTATGCTCAGCGAGGGCTACGCAGATCTCATCGAGCCGCCTGGCTTCACACCTCTAAGAAACAGCTTCCAGAAACATATACGTCCATCCTGAACCTATATGCCTCCCCCCTCCCTCCTTTCTTTCAGATAAAGAGTTACCCTATAGCCTAGGGTGGCTGCAACTTGCTAGGTAGCCAGTTTTTCTGCCTCTGCCTCTCAAGAGCTGGGATTATAGATGAAAGCCACACGGCCGGACTCTGAACTTCCTACCGAGGCTGAGCCACATCTCCATGCGTGCCTAAAAGTTACTATGTTGGGGACTCTACTCCAGACTCCCGTTAACTTGACAGCCGCAATGATTTATTGCGGTTCTTAGGCCTCAAACAGTGGCATCACCCTCCTCTCCACTTGACTTGCATTTCACCAACAGACTGTCAGCTCTGCCACTCAAGCTCAGCCTCGTGCCTATTCTACCAAAGCCACTGCTGGGGAGGGCACATTTGTGACTCTGGTAATCCCACAGCTTCCAACGCCCAACCGTGAGACAGCTGACCAGGCACTTCACTTCCGGGAGCCTCAGATTCCCTGTCTGTGAAATAGGGACAGGAAAAGCACCTACTTCCCTGAAGAGTTTTCCTAAATACAAAAGTAACTTTATTGTGGTTTCACAATGTAAAATGATTTTCCAGAAAATTAAAATATGTAACAGCCCAATAATAGAACATAATAGCTAATTATCTCCAGACAAGGGAAGATAAAATGAGACCACAGACGGGCCCAGAATGGAGTGAACGTTTGTTGAATCTCACTATAACCATGTGTGGGCAAGGGAAGCCTGGCATTTAGGCCTTGCCCTTAGCTATGGCCTTGGGGATGAAGTAAACTAATGAGCCTTTTGTTCTGCCTTTTGCAGTACCAGGGAGTAACGAAAGGCCTCACAGGGTTTTCACTCCAGCATCGGCTCTCTTTTTGTTATTACCCACTGCTACTACTACTACTACTACTACTACTACTACTACTACTACTACTACGGGGTCTCTCGGTCTCCTCCATCCTGCCTTTATCCTTCAGGGGCTGGGACTACAGATGTGCATCGCCACACCTGGCTCAGGTGGTGCCGAGGACCAAACCTAGGGCTTCGTGAGTGCTAACAAGTAATGGACTGACTGACGACACCCCCAACCCGCTATTTTGTTACGGACAGAGCCTCACATAGCCCAGGCTGTCTTAAACGCCAGACCCTTCCCCCGCCTCCTCATTGTAACCACCTTACTTTTTAAATTTTGAGTTGGTGTCTTACTAGTTGCCTGGGATGGCCTTCCCTTCATTCCACAGCCCATGCAGGCCGTGACCTTGTTATCACCCCTGCCTCGGTCTCCTGAGTAGCTGGGATGATAGGCCTATACACCACCAAGCTGGGATCTGGCTAGAGGTTACAGTCCTGCTTCAGGCCTCTGCTCACCAGCTCCTAGCCTGTCCCTCTTCCATGTCAACAACCATTCCTTCCATTTTAACACTACCTTGGTAGTTTTCTTTTCCTCATATCCAACTGAAGGGCTCCGCCTTTGCAACCCCTCTAGAGTCAACCATGTCCTTCCAATCCAGTTCCCAGCCTCTCTTCTAGGCCCTTACCTGCTTGTCCCTTGACCTATTTCCTGTCACTCTACCTTCTTAGGCTCCAAGAGACATCACCAGATGCCACTTGGCACTGAACTGATGTCCCGAAGAGTCTTTCTTTTCCTCTCTAGCATGTGTCGGCTCCCACAGGTGACATGGCTTATCTATTTAATGTGGCTACTTCCCCTCACAGGTGGAGAGGCCCGGAAGAGCTAGACTATCTGCTGTCCTCCCTGTCCCACCTCCAACGGCCAAGACAGCAGCAGGCATGGGGCAGATGACTGCATGAACCAAAGGTTGCCTCAGCTGAGACTGAAGGGTGATGGCTTCTCCAAGAAAAGGAGACACAGAAGGACAAAAGGAGCTCCAGAAGGGGGAGGGCTCCTCCTCTGCCCGCTACCAAGTCTCCCCCTCTTCCAGTAGACTCACCAGCCGCTTTGCCCAGAGTGGCATCTTGCCATTGGTCAGCAGGCATGGAGGACCTACAGACACAGGAAGAGAGAGGTCGAGCAACCTTAGAGATGAATGAACTCCATTTACAACTGGGCATTCTCTAAAAGGAGTAGCACAGGAACCCATGGATTAAAACATGCTCAGCCTCACTCAGTCAGAAAGATGCAAATGTAGACAATAAAACACACTGTTTAACTCCTAAAACTGACCAAGTCTAAATATTAGGGTTGGGGCAGTGGCTGGGGGCGGTCAGTGTTGGGTATAGTGGTGTGTGCCTGTAATCTCGATACGCAGGAGGCTGAGGCAGGAGAAGCAAGAGTCTGGACTACACAGTGACAGCCTGTTTCAAAAGATCCAAGCCAAGATTGAGTGGCTCAGCTGCAGGGTGTGAGTTTGGCATGTGCAGGGCCCTGAGCTCAGTCCTGCACATGGGGAAAGGAAGTATAGGCTCACACACTGTGTTAGATGGGACATCTAACTGAATGTGGAGCGCTCTTGGGGTTCCTTTTGAAAATAAAAAACATGCTCATGTCAGGACCCAGTGTGTCTGGTCCAGAAAGAGTACTCAACTGCTCGAGGAGAGAGCCCAGGAGGGTCAGGTAGAGCTTCCAGAACAATGCTCCATGAAACTAGAAAGAAACCCTAAATGCCCACTTGCATGGGGAGTAACTGTACTAGAGTGCTGTGAAAGACGGGTCTGTGCTTTACTCTCTCACAGTCAGCTAAGCTGTTCCTGAGAGGGGAAAGGTAAGAATAGTAGCTCCACAATACCAAGACTTACACACATAATAGGATGTGTTGCAATGCACACACACAGAGTATTAGTGCTCAGGGAAAGGCCAACAATTTACACCATGGTCGGCATGGAATAGTAGGCTGGGAGTGAGGGAGACAACAAGAAAACTTAGCTTATTCTCAAACACCTGCAGCCAGGTGGTAGCGGCTCACACCTTTAGTCCCAGCACTCAGGAGGCAGAGGCAGGTGGATCTCTGAGTTTGAGACCAGCCTGGTCTCCAGATCAAGTTCCAGGGCAGTTAGGGCTGCTACACAGAGAAACCCCATCTTGAAACTGCCCCCAGTTGAAAGATCAGCCTGGTCTACAAAGGGAACTCCAGGACAGCCAAGGCTAAACATAGAAATTCTGTTTTGAAACAAACAAATAAACCTACCTGCTTTTCTGGCTGAATTCTCACACTGCCGTTGTGTACCAAGAAGCCCCTATTTGCCCTTTAGGGAAAGCCACCTTTCAGACACCCCATTCTGTCACTGTTTCTAGCCTCTCTCACAGCTGGAGGCACAGTGGCCAGTGAGATCAATGGGAACCCTGCAAGTGACTGGGGGAGAAGGCTTCCTTCTTTGTGTGTGGTACTGAGGACTGAACCCAGAGTCTCACATCGCCAGGCAAACGCTCCACCACTGAGCAGCTTCTTCGGCCTTTTTATTGTAAGACAGGGCCTCACTAAGTTCCCCCAGGCTGGCCTTGAACTCACTCTGTAAACCAGGCTGGTCTTGAGTTTCTAATCTTCCTGCCTGAACTTCCTGAGCATCTGTCTGTGATTACAAATGTGTACCACACGGGCCCTGCTAGGAGCATCTTCTAAGGGGGAATCTTAGTCGTGACTATGTCTCTTCTTCAGCCAGCCCAGAAGCCTTGCAACCCTGAGGGCAGATGCAGGGAAGCAGGCGTACAGCCAGCCTTTCATCAAATATCGATAGTGGAAACCCCCAGGGGAAACCCCTAGACCTCCACTCCTTCCCACCTTGGTCAGGTACTAAGTTCAGTTGACAAAGCCTCAGTGCCAAGAACTGGCTAATCACGGAGACTGATTCGGAACAGGGACACAGTTTATGTCAGAATCTTGCTTGAGCAGTAGGAAGGCACGTTCATCCCTCTGCAGTTTTACAAGCCCACGGCGGATAGAGAGTCCTCTTCTCCCCTCGAAAAGGGTGTCTGCCTGAGCGCAAAGGCAATGTGAAGGAAAGCAGAGCCAGACAGAAAAAGATCCTTTTCTTTCTGGTTTTGACATAAACTCTTACCATGTAGTTCAGATCCTTTTCTTCCTGGTTTTAAGATAAGCTCTTACTATGTAGTTCAGGCTGGCCTGGCACTTGCAATCCTCCTAAATTCTGGGATTATAGGTGCGAGCAACCACACTCAGCAAATTTTTTTTTTTTGAGACACAGTTTCTCTATTCTATGTAGTACAAGCTGTCATGGAACTTGCTATGTAGACCAGGCTGGCCTTCCTGCTTTGGGGATTAAAGGCATACACCACCACACCCTACCTGATATATATTTTCAAGTGTTTTGAGCAGGCTAGCCTCTCCTGGAGATGGAGTAGAATGATGGGATGATAGGGAGTGCACAAACTCAGTGGGGAAGAACCTTCCCCCTTGATAGCACCTGACCCTGGGCCCAGCAAAGCTTGACACTAGTATTCTTAGTTTTCAGTTACATCAACCAAATCATTTTCTGGTTACCTCAACTGTTACACTCCCAGTTTTGACCCCAGGCCACTGGGCCTTTTCCCTAACCTGGATCCAAGCTCTCTGTGGACGGTGTTTTCAGCATCTCTTCTGGGTCACACTCCTCCTCCGTCTCATCTTCCGTCTGCTCTCCAGGGCTCAGGGAGCAGATCTCATTTGGTATGGATACACATGTCTCCTGGCTTCAGAAGAAAAACAGAAAGGAAGCCTAGGTGAATGGGGTTAGGCGGGAACTGGCCTAGAGCTGGGTCTGTCCACAGCTTCAGCCTTGCCTCTGTTGAGAGCCACACAGCAGGGTATTAGCTTCAAAACTAAGCAGCAAAGGGAGCACAGTTCCTTGGTACCTCAGCCTGTGACATCTCCAATGCCACCTCAAGACCAGTGGTTGTGGTTGTGGCCCAGTCCTCATGGGCACCTGGGAGCCTGCCTAAGTCTCAGTGTGAGAGGCAGACAGGGACAGACCCAGAGTAGAGAAGAAATCTCCTAACCCCTTCAATCTCAAACCAGAAACTGAGCCAGGCATTGTGGCTCATGCTTATATTTTAGCACTTGGGGGCTGAGGCAGGAGGACTGCCTTGAGTTCAAGGCCAGCCTGACTATATAAAAAAAATCTGCTGTGGATTTGGTTTAATTATAAGCTGACTGGCCTGTAGCCAGGCAGGAATTATAGGTGGGACAACAAAACTTGGATAATGATGGGAAGAAGGGCAGGGTCAGGAGAAATTCTGGCCAGCCACTGGGGAAGCAGGACATGTAGAAAATGAGGTAACAAGCCATGAGCCACGTGGCAAAGCACAGATAAGAAACATGGGTTAATTTAAATGTAAGAGTTAGCTAGTAACAAGCCTGAGCTATAGGCCCAGCATTTGAAATTTATGTTAAGTCTCTGAGGCAGTTATTGGGGGAACAGCTGCCGGTTATTTGGGAGCAGCCAGTTGGGACAGGAAAACTTCTGCCTACAGAAATCATTATGGGAATTCACTCCAAATAGTTTGAGAGTGTGTGTATAAAGACTAAAGAAATGTGCTTTGGGGATTCAAGGAAGCAAAGGACCAGCTCTGTGCTGAAGGGTAAGAGGACACTCAGTGCCACTGGAGTCCTACCCTCTAAGCACCCTTCCCCACTGCTGGGCAGGCAGGTCCTTCTACTCCCCCAGCCTGGAGCTTCCTCATCACTACACTCAATAAGGCATTTAAGGTTTTGTGCTCTAAAATCTCTCTTAGGGTTTCTTTGTGTAGTCCTAGCTGTCCTGGCACTCGCTCTGTAGACCAGGTTGGACTCGAACTCATAGAGATCCGCCTGCCTCTGCCTCCCGAGTGCTGGGATCAAAGGTGTGCTGTATATGCCACCACTTTCGCTTAAAACTGCTGTTAAATTGTGCTTTTGGAACTTTGTTTCCAAAGCGTGACATCCCCAAGGCTAAGGTTGCAGGGAAGGTCTTGGGGCTGGCAGGACCTGGGGGGGCCGCCCCACTTCTGGTGCTTGGGCTGCCGCTGCTGCTGCTCCTGGCGATTGATCTCCAGCAAGTGCTGCCTCATGCAGGTGGTGATCTCTGGGCCCAGGTGCCAGATGAACACGCAGCTGCAAAGGGGAAGAAATCGGAAGGAAGTGTGCATGGTAAACTCTGCCATGTCTGAGCCTGGAGCCCCCTACATCATCATATAGATACCCCCTTCTTCCTAGGTGCCCTGTCTGCTCGGCTCAAGAGCCAGGCAACCCAGAAAACAAGGGGCCTCAAGACTCAAGAAAAAGAGCTCTGGGGCAGAACTGGACCTATTAACCCCATAAGACAGGGCGCTGTATCGTTCTTTTGGTTGTCATCACGTTTCAAGATAGATGGTGACATCCTTTCACAGAGCAAATTGAGGCTCAGAGAGGGGAAATGACCTGCTCAAGGCCATAAGAAAACGACAGATCTGGGGTGGAACTTAGGGCTGGCGTGCAAAGTGTATGCCATCCAAAATGAGAGTAAGATGCGAGCTGTCCACACAGACTAAAAGTGCCGCAAGCTGGGGCTGAGCTCCTCTCTCCCCATGACAGACACCCACCTACACCTAGAGGGAGGCCCACCAGGGGCAGCCTCCACAATTGTCCCACCTGTCTCCAGATACTGTGATCAAGTGACGGCAGTCATACGTGAACTTCATGCCAGTGACAATTTCTGCAAGCAAAGGAGAGAGGCTGTCCTTACTCGGAGTCAGGCTGTGGCAGCAGCAGGAAAGGGACCTTCCTGAACAGACAAACACCTACCTGAATGGCCAAACATCTTGGCAACACACTCGCCCGAGTAAAAGTCAATCACCGAGATGCTTTTGTCAGAGCAGCTTGTGGCCAGGAAGGTGCCTGAGGGGTCTACATGAACCTGAGGGAAGAGACATGTCACCTCAGTTGCTTGCTTTATGCCTACTGGGAGACCCGAGCCAAACATCTCAGTACCACCTCCTGAATGACCACCTCTTTTGGGCTGGGCACTGGGTTTAGGGAATCCACTCAGGGCACTCTCATGACACCAGGCAGGGCAGGAATTCCTACTCCCATTTTGCAGTGAAGAATTCATAGCCACCAGTACAGAAATGATGGTGGCCAGGCTCTGGGCTCAGTGCCAAGTGCCTGCAAGCTTCGCCCTCTACACAATCCTAGGGTGGAAGCTGCTTTCCATTGGCATTTGACAGATGATGAAACAGTTTAGACACCTGCCCAAGGTCACCCAGTCAGTCTGAGGCACAGCTAGGATCTATCAAGGAGGCTGAACTCAGAACAACTCCCCGGGCCAGAGTCTCTGAGAAGTGTCCACCTGTCCTGTCCTCTGTCCTGTGGGAGGACAAGCCAGGAGAGGAGTGAAGGTCTGTCTGCCTCCTCCAACCACACCCTGCTGCCATACAAACTAGAGTCCACTCAGCAAATGGAGGCCCGCCCCTCCCTCCCTCCACTCCAGCACCCGTGGCTATCGGGGCCCGAGTGATGGGGCCCTGTGTTGGGCGTGTGTGGTGTGTCTCACTCACCTTCAGCAGGGACCCCTCATCTCCCTGGGAACCCTTGTAGCACTTCTTCTGTTTCCCACTCACTGTGTTGTAGACCCTGGGGAAGTGGGGATGCCATGTGGGAGCAGAAGACGCCGCCCTTTCCTCCTGGCCCTGCTGCCCTCTGCTCCGGGGTGGGAGCCACCACCTCAAGCTGAGGACAAGACCTGGGGTAGATGAGCTGGCTGCCATCTGTCCCCGTTCACACAGCAAGCTTAGGGCTTAGCCCAGGTGGAAGGAGTCCAGGAAGGAAGTAGAGAACACAATCCCCAAGCCAACCCTGACAGTTCCAGGGCCTCCTACAGGCCCCACTGACTCCCAAGGCTCCCTTCATCTCAGCCCGGACCACTATTCTCTGTCCCTTTCGTGGACTGTGAGCTTCCTGAAGGACTGGGCTGCCTTAGCCACTGCTGTGACAGCAGCAGTCTCCAGTCCAGACAAGAGCCCAAGTAAGACAGGAGAATGAGCGATGAGTTTGTGACTTCTCCGTCCCCACACAGTCCCAGGAGAGCCACAGACTTCTGTAGGGCTGGTGGCTAAGCCTGGTGGAGCGGCTCCTCCTCCTCCTCCCCTTGCCAGGTTCTCACGTAGGTCATAGTGACTTCTAATTTGCTATGTGGCTAAGGCTGGCCTTGAGCTCCCGATGCTCCCCCAGTGCTGGGATGACAGGCACGCACTGCTGTGATGGAATCACAGATCCTAAATGACACTCTCTTCCCCTTGCAGTCAGGCCACATCCGCAGCTACAGAGAGCTGCTGTGACCTTGTAGCTATCTATCACAGAGCTGAGTTCTTTCCCTCCTCCACACAGCTGGGAAACAACCCTGAATTATACCCACTTTATTATCAGTGCCTTGTGACTCCCATCCTGAGCCCCTCTGGAAACCTCTGAGCCAGAAACTGACTTTCTTTTCCTTACAGAATTGAAAGGCCTGTTTCTCCCTTTGGGGCTTCTCAATGCGCCCGTGACGCTGTGCCTCTCCTAATATTCTAGGAGCTGAAGGCCTGCCTTTACCTTCAGGACTCCTGCCGTATCACGCGTGGTGGCTCTCCTTTTATTTACGTGCTTTATGTATGTGGGCGTGGGCGGGCGCGCTGTCTTCATGTACATTTGCACACGAGAAGAGGGCACTGGAGCTCCCTGGACTACAGTTACAGATGGCTGTGAGCCGCCATGTGGGTGCTGGGAATTAAACTCAGATCCTCTGAAAGAGCAGCCAGTGCTCTTAACCAGAACCATCTCTCCAGCCTGCCTATGGCTGTATGTCTGTCCTAATAAAGCTCTTTTGAAGGGTGATCTCATCTCGGCTTTTCTTTTCTTTTTTTTTTTTTTTAAAGTAATTTATTTAACTTTATTTTACTTGCATTGGTATGAAGGTGTCAGATCTCCTGGAACCAGGGTTACGGACAGTTTTAAACTACCATGTGGGGGCTGGGACATGAACCCAGGCAGGTCCTCTGGAAGAGCAGTCAGTGCTTTTAACCGCTGAGCCGTCTCTCCAGCCCCTCAGCTTCTTTTCTACGAACCTGCTACTACAGTACTCACAACACACGCCCTGCCTGGAGCCACACTTGTAAGAAACACATAGGTCTCACCAGCTTTTTGGGACCAGATGAAGAGGGAGAAGCAGCAGGCAGCCAGGGAAAAGACGGTCCAGCAAGGGAGAGCTCACTGAGCCAGGCTGGAAACAAGCTGGGGCCAGAACAAAGCACAAGGGACTCCTCACCTCACGTTGCGGTCCTGGCAGGCCACAGCCACATACTTCTGTGTGATGTCTATATCCATGTCATACAAGGTGGTCTTTTCTGCTACATGGTGGGTACGGACAAAGTGCAGCCCATCCGAGGTCTGGCAGGGCAGGAAAGACCTTCAGGGGACACCCCTGATAATCTCCCAACCTTAGCCCCCAAGGAGGCCACCCCATTTACCTGCTGGGCACTGCGAAAGTAGATGCTCTTGTCGGCCCCACAGCTGATCATCTGGACATCCCTGGTGCCTGGAGGAGGAGGCAGGGGTTAGACAGGGCTGCCCTGTGCTACACAGGAGGAAAAATGGGGGCTAGGAAATCCCACTTCAGGGAAAATAACCAACTCTGCTAGGATCAGAAAGGCTTCTGGAGGAGGAGAGGCCTCTTTTTTTTTTTTTTTTTTTAAAGATTTATTTATTATGTATACAGTGTTCTGCCTGCTTAGATGCCTGCAGGCCAGAAGAGGGCTCCAGATCTTATTATAGATGGCTGTGAGCCACCATGCGGTTGCTGGGAATTGAACTTAGGACCTGTGGAAGAACAGCCAGTGCTCTTAACCTCTGAGCCATCTCTCCAGCCTGGGGAGGCCTCTTAAGACAGGAACTGTGTGTGAGGCTGGTTTGGGCAGAGCAGGGGTACACAGGAAAACCAAGACAAGACTAGAGGCAGAGAGCAGACAGCATTTTGAAAGCTGGAGGAGTGGTGCGTGTTGGTAATCCCAGCACTCTGTGATACAGGGCTTGGGAGCCTGAGGCAGGAGGAACTCACGTTCTAGGCTGGTTTGGCTTTGGGAGATCCTGTCTCAAAAACACACACACTGTAAGGGCAGAGATGGAGCTTAGCAGTACAGCCCCTGTTTAGTGTGCTCAAGGCTGCAGCACTTCAAGGTAAAACAAAATGACAACAAATGAAAGCCATGTGTGGGATACACGTCTGTAATCCCAGCACTTGGGAGATGAAGGTGGCAAGATCAGCTTGAGGTCATGCTTGGCTCCACAGTGCTGGAGGCCATAGCAACTGAGGAAAGTCTTAAATTGTCCGCCCATTTCCACCTCCCAAGCTCCAGGACTATTTCACAGAAGGCTAGAACACTGCATCAGATATCTGCCTCCGTCACTTTCTAGCCTTTTTTTTTTTTTAAACATTTATTAATTTATTGTGTACCATTGTGTACCGTGCACGTGGAGGTCAGAGGACACCTTGCAGGAACCGGTTCTCTACCCCCATATTCCATGGCTTCCAGAGTTTAAACTCAGGTCGGTCATCCGGCTTGGTGGAAAGAACCCTTTCCAGCTAAGCCACCTTGCCTGCCTCTTCCACCGTAATTTCTGAGATAGGTCCTTCATCTTTTACTAAAGCTCTCGTTCACTGATTAGCTAGACATTCGTTCCCCAGAATCATCATCTCTACCTCTCAACACTAAGATTATGGATGGCTCTCTCTGTGGGTGTCAGGGATCAGAAGTCAGGTCACCATGCTTACAGAAAAGCATTTGCCCACTGAGCCATCTTCCTCAGCCTGTAACAGGACATCTGCACTGCCAACTCCATTTGGAATCCCCCGAGTACCACACCACTGCACACGTCTGCGAGGACATCTGTGGAGGTGCAACTGAAGGGGGTGACCCACCCTGAATGTGGCCAGCACCACATAGACGAGGGTCCTAAACAAGCCCTAGCATGCACCTCTCTCTGCCCCTGACTGTGGATGCTGCCTCCTGCTGCAGTCATGTCTTCATGCCAAGAACTGTATCCTCTCCTGAACTGTCAGCCAAAATAAATCCTTTGTAAGTTGCTTCTGCCAGGTAGTTTGTCAAAGCAACAAGAAAAGTAAGCTGGTCTTGGATTCCTTGCCTCTGGAGCAGCTGGAGCTACGGGTGTATGGCACTGCACCGGCCTCTCTCTCTCTCTCTCTCTCTCTCTCTCTCTCTTCCTCTCTTCTCTTCCTCTCTCTCGATGTGAGCTTGCCTGCACGGATGCATATACATCGCATGCTTAGTGCATGCAGAGGTCAGCAGAGAGCATTGGGCGCCCTGGCACTGGAGTTGCACATGATTGTAAGCCACCATGTAGATGCTGAGAGCCAAACCTCAGTCCTCTGCAAGAGCAAGAGCTTTTCACCTGAGTCATGCCAAACATAGTGGCTCACACTTTTCATTCCAACATCTGAGGGGCAGGCAGAGGCAGGCGTTCCATCTCTGTGTGTTCCAGGGCTACACAGTGAGGCCCTATATCAAAAACACAACAGACGCCCAACCCCTGAGCCCTTTTCTCCAGCTCCCTGTTCACTTTCAAAATAGCCCAACATTCATTTTCATAAATCAATAAACCAAAAGGCTAGTCTTCAGATCCACGTGTTGTCACTCCTGTCTTGGGCACGCCTGCCACAGGGCATGCTGTGGTTACTTGCAAACAAAGAGCCCTGTGCTGAGGGCCAGCAAGGGGGAGAGAAGGCACTCACCAGCAAATTTAATGGCTGTGATGGACGAGGAGTGGTCATCGAGGGTCTGCTCCAGGTTGTAGTTCTTCTCCACATTCAGCACGTGAATGAGCCGGTCCCTACTGGCTGAAGCCAGCAAAGTCACTCCTGTGAGTGGAGACAACAAGTGGGTTGCCCAAGGCTGCCTAGATCCCCGCCTCCCAGACAAGCAGACAGATTGAGAAGTCCACTCCTTGGAGAAGGGAGTCTTTGGGTGCAGAGTGCAAGCTAAGCTGTCCCAAACCAAGAAAGGGCAAGTCCTTGGCTCTGGGAGGTCTTTCCCCAGAGCCCCTACACTCAGACCACCACTGCTTTTTTTTTTTTTCTTGGTGGGGGGGGGGGGGGGGGTGCGCCACCAGCGCCCTGCCTAAAGGCAATTCTTTTTTTTGTTTGTTTGGTTTTTTTTTGTTTTTTTTGAGACAGGGTTTCTCTGTGTAGCTTTGGAACCTATCCTGGCACTGGCTCTGGAGACCAGGCTGGCCTCGAACTCAGAGATCCGCCTGCCTCTGCCTCCTGAGTGCTGGGATTAAAGGCGTGCGCCACCAATGCCAGGCTGTAAAGGCAATTCTTGACGTGTGGATGTGCCACGCTTATCTGCATCAGATACTTTGGCACACCACAACACTCCTTTCTGGTGAGTCCTACTCTGTGGGAAGTGTGCCATGGGAAGCTCAGGCATTCTCTTAGCCTCTCTTAAAACCATGCCCCAGCTCTGAGTCTGAGCTACCTAGGCCTCAGCCAAGCCTTGCTGACTGCTTCCTACCACCCCCCTTCTTTCGCTGGGCCTTTCCCCTTAGTGGCCCCTCAGACTATGTCTGCTCTAGTGGAGTTGAGTTCTTAACGGCACAGCCTGAGGCCAGGAGAGCTCAGGAAAGGTCTAAGAGTTGAGAAACAGAAAGAAACTGATGGACAGAGGGTTTGGAGGATGGAAGAATGAAAGATGGCGTGGAAAGTCATCACTTGTCACATCACGGTGCAACTCCACCTAGGTTGGATCGTGCGCTGGTTTGAATGAGAACTGCTCCACACAGGCTCAGACATTTGAACACTTGGTCCTCAGGTGGTGTCCTGCATGGGACCCCTTAGGAGGTGGAGCCTTGCTGGAGGAAGTGCTGGGGACTACCTCTGAGGGTTTATAGCCTCAGCCTACTTTCTGCTCTCTCTGCAGATAAAATCATCAGCTAACTTCCTGTTCGTGTCACGGTGCCATGTCTTCCCTGCCATTAATGGACTCTATCCCTCTGGAACCATGGGTAAAATAAACTCTTCTATAAATTGGTTTTGGTCACGGTATTTCATTATAGCAGTACAAAAGCAACTAATATAGACAGGATATCCCAAAAGTGTGTTGTCAGAACCAAACGATAAAGGAGTCGGACAAACTCAACAGTGAGGGAAATTCTACACGACTAGCTTGTCTCTGCAGCAAGCAAAAGCCCAAATACCAAGTTAAGGCTGTGGAGGTGCTCCAGAATAAAGACAACAAAGCCAAGACACTTAAAAATGTGAACCTAGCTTAGAAACAAAAGTTCTATGGACGACAATACTGGAGAACTACCAAAGTTTGAATAAGGGCCATTGTATAAATGACAGCATGGTATCAAAATGGACTTGGTAAGTGCAGTAGTGTGTATTTTATATGTGTGTACAAACAGATATATGCATGTGTATATGCATATATCCTATGTATATGTATGAATGCATAGGACCAAGATGGGACCCAGGGCGTTACAATGCTCCCCCACTGAGCTACACCCTAGCTCGCTTCCATCGTGTAAATGGAGATGCTCTTCTTAGGGTATTGCAGGGTTATGCCTGAACTCACACATCACCCAGCAAAAAAACAAAATGTGTATGCTCTTGTTTTACCTGCATGTAACACACACACACACACACACACACACACACACACACACACACACACACACAGAGCAATGGAGAGAGGGTCGCAGTGGAGTTATGTATATAGTCAAAGGGTTACACTGAATACAGAAGAAAAACCTGATCTAGATGAAGGCTTGAAAGTACTTCTGTCATATTCTTGCAATTTTTCTGTAGGCATTTAACCCTGTAAAAGGAGCGGCAAACAGCCCGTCCACCCAGCAGCCGACCTCGCTCACACACCTTCAGCTTGGGGCCCGCATGAGCCTGCAGCTGTCCTGCTCTGTGGAGTCCATTCCACAGAGCCCTTCCTGAGCTGAAGCCTCCCGTCAGCAGCTGCTGTCTGTGGCTCTGCCCACCTGACCCCAGCCTGCTGGGGGCTCACCTGTCTCGGGCTTGGAGTACTCCAGGCACAGCACCTCAGCATCGTGGGCCTCCACCTTGATGAGCTCATCCATGAAGTGCAGGTCGTGGATCCTGGGAGACACACACTGCCAACTGTACCCTGCCCACAGCCCAAGCTGGCTCTGGGCCAGCACTGCAGTCTTACTGTGGCAAATAGCCTGAGATGCTCAGCCACAGCTTCCCATCCAGAACGTGGCTGTGGTAAAGGGAGCATTGCAGAGACAAGGAGACCACAGGTACAAACCTCTTGTAGCTAACAAGCCAAAACATAACCCAGGGATTGAGGATCGTCCGCTGCAGCAAAAGGCATTTCTGCAGAGCTAAATATCATAGGCAGTCTCTGACGGAAAGGGCAAAGGGTCAGAGACCATATTCATGGATTTTCCTCTTTTGTACTATTTTCTTTTTTTAAAAGATTATTCTTTTTTTTGGGGGGGGTGCTCAGTATTTAGCCCTAGCTGGTCTGGTCCTGGTTATCTAGACCAGTCTGGCCTCAGGCTCACAGAGACCTATCTGTCCCTGCCACCCAGTGCTGTGATTAAAGGTATGTGTTTATTTTTTTAAACATGTTTTCATCTTTGTGTGTGTCTGTCTACAGAGGCCAGAAAAGGGTATCAAATCCTCTAGAGCTACAGTTGAAGTCCAGGAGTTATGAGTTGTCTGACATTGCTGCTGGGGACCAAACTCTGGTCCTCTGTGAGAACAGTAAGTGCTCTTAACTACTGGGCCATCTCTCCAGCTCTTTGTTTTGTTTTTCTTTGACAGAGCATGTGCCATCGTGCTTCATTCATTTTTCATTCTTTTTTTTAAAGACAGGCCCTGGCTCTCCTGGAACTCACTATGCAGATCAGGCTGGCCTCAAACTCAAGAGATCCTCCTGCCTCTGGTTCCTGAGTGGTGGGATTACAGGCGTGTGCCACCACATCTGGCTCCTGCCTCATGAACAGTCTCAAAATGTAGACTCTCCTTATTTTCATCACTGCAGCTTCTCTACTGTCCACTGTGTGAGTTTTAGCCCACCTTGTCTCATCTCAATTAACTCATGTACATAACAGAGAAATAAAACAGGGCTTACATACAGCAGGTTCTGCAAGGGGATTAAACCACTAGATAAACATATTGCTGCCGGGTGTTAGTAAGGCACTCATTTAGTCCCAACACTTGGAGGCAGAGGCAGGCAGATCTCTGAGTTCGAGGCCAGCCTCGTCTATAGAGCGAGTTGCAGGACAGGCTCCAAAGCTACACAGAGAAACTCTGTCTCAAGAAACCAAAACCAAAACCAAAAAACCATAGTGTTCGGCCATCACCAGGCAGAGGCCATAGTGTCCACCCCATTATCACCTAATAGTGTTTGTCACTTAATGCATGACTGATACAATTGCCAGTATTTAAAAATCACAGAATTGCACCGGGAAAAAAATGAAACGAAAGAACTAGGGTTAAAGAGGCAGTGGATAAGGGTACTTGCTGCCAAGACTAATGATCTGAAGGCCCAGGAACCACACTGGGAAGAGAGTTGACCCTCAAAGGTTGTCTTCCGACTTCCACCCTCACACTACAATATGCACGTGTACACTTGTGCGCATGCACACGCACGCACACACGCACACACGCACACACACACACACACACACACACACACACGCAATAAATAAGTAAACTAGAAGTTATTCACTAGTTACTTCATGGAAGCTAGCTGCCCATTTGTGGGACACGTGCTTTGCAGTTTCTTCCCCACTCACTCTGTCTCTTTCAAGACTCAGATGGTCATAGCTGCCACTTACCATCTTAAACTTAGTCTTAGACAAAGCTCATGTTCTGCTAGCATCCATTAGCTAAGCATGATGACTGCTTGTGCCTGTTCTGCAATCCTAGCACTCTGGAGGCTGAGGCAGGAGGACCAGCACAAATCCAAGACTAGACTGGGCTCCACAGTAAGTTCTAGGCCATTCTGGGATGTCTACAGTATAAGACCCCATCTCAAATGAAAACATGGCTGGGGAGATGGCTGTGGGCAAAGCACTTGAAGAGGAGGTAAGAGGGTCTCAGTTTGACGTAGTATGAGCCACTAACACTCCAGTGCTTGGAGCCGTGACAAGGGATTCCTGGGGCTTGCTGGCCAGCCAGTCTTGCCAAACTGGTAAGCTTCTGGGTCAGGGGGAAACTCTGTTTCAAAAAAAAAAAAAAAAAAAAAAAAGTGTAATTGGGGCTGGAGAGATGGCTCAGAGGTTAAGAGCACTAACTGCTCTTCCAAAGGTCATGAGTTCAATTCCCAGCAACCACCATAAATATAATAAATCAATCTTTAAAAAAAAAAAAAAAGTGTAATCCAGTGATGGAAGCAGACATCCAGTCTGGACCTCTGGCTTCCATACAGGCATGCACACCCATGCCCACACATACAAATCATACAAATAAATAATAAAAGAAAAAGAAAAACGAGTCTGGATAGTGGTACACACCTGCAATCCCAGAACTCAGGAGGTAGAAACAGACTGCCTCAAAGAAACCACACCAGGGGCTGCAGAGATGACTCAGCAGTTAACACTGGCTGCTCTTCCAAAGGACCTGAGCTTGGTTCCTAACACAACTACCCGAAACTTCAGCTCCAGGGGATCTTACATCATTTTAGTCTCTTCCAGGGAGGAAGGGAGAGAAGGAGAGAGGGAGAGAGGGGGACAAACATACAGATATTCAGACACACACACACACACACCTAAAACCAAAACAACCAAATAAAAGTAATGAACAACCTTGTTGGGTGGGCAGACCACCAGGTCTTCTATGCTCCATCCTACTGAACCCTCTCAGTACACCCATGCCTGTGCAACTGGCTCCTCCCACTGACATTTTAGCTTCGGTGACCAACGGCTGTGAGAGTGTTTCATAAATCTCCCTCTCCAGGGAGGAGGCCACTCCATGCAGCTGCTGAGATCCTGGCAGCTACTGTGCTCTCAGGTTTTCAGGAAGCCCCGCCCAGAGGAAGACCTGGGGTGCTCTCAGTAACTGGACTACTACTGGTGGCCCCCTATTCCTAACCAGCGGCTGAGGTGCCAAGACGAGGACTCTTCCTTCCCCAGTGCCCGGAGACCCCCAGCTGGGGCAGAGAGATGAACACTAGCCACCCCCGGGGCCACTTGCCTCAGGTTTCCACTTCGGTCGCCTGAAGCCAGGTGCTGGCCGTCAGGACTGACCTGCATGACTCGAACCCCAGCTTTTACATCCATGGGTGTCCCAATCTCACTGCCTCGGTCTGGGAAATGAGACATGTCCTGAAGGTGCTGGATATCATTCTCCACGTACACCACCTTCAGCAGGGTCTGTGGGAAGAGAGGCTAAGGTCAGCGTAGCAAGGGGCCCACAGTCCCTGAGCTCAGTGCGCCCCATGGCCCGGGCCTTACTGAGGACAGAACCCCAGCTGCGAGGGGAGGGAGAGCTTCCCCACTCACTCACAACAGTGACTGCATCCCCCTGTCTTCCTTGCAGCTAGGTGAGAGTCTGGGCCCTGAGGAGAGCAAGCGAGAACACATCGGCTTCCTTGCCCGTCTGGCTGCATGGGACTGTGTCATGAGGGCTAGAGAGGATGACAGCCACCTTCTCATTTGACAGAATGAAGAGACGAAGGGCTCCAAGTCTCTAAGAGCTCCCTGGGACTAGATAAACTATCTGCAGACTTCTTTTTTAAGAATGTGTATGAGTGCTCTGCCTGCATGTATGTGTGTATGTCTGTGTACCGTGTGTGTGCTGTGTCCCAGGAGCCCAGAATCAGCCACTTCATCTTCGGGAACTGGAGTGAACTGTTGTTAGCTGCCACAGAGCGCTAGGAATGGAACTCAGGTCCTCTGCAAGAGCAACAAGTGCTCTTAAGTGCTGAACCATCTCTCCAGCATACAGTGCACCCCCCCACCCCTTATTTATTTTTTGGTTTTTCGAGACAGGTTTTCTCTCTGTAGGATCTGGAGGCTGTCCTGGCACTCGCTCTGGAGACCAGGCTGGCCTGGAATTCACAAAGATCCCCCTGCCTCTGCCTCCTGAGTGCTGGGATTAAAGGTGTATCCCCCTTTATATTTATTTACTTTTATTTCATGCACATGAGTGTTTTGCCTCATGCACGACTGAATGGAGGCATTGGATTCCCCCAACACTGCAGTTATGGGCAGTTATGAGCTGCCATGTGGGTGCTGAGAAGTCCAAGTCCAAGTCCTCTGGGAGAGCAGCCAGTGTTCTTAACACTGCTGAGCCATCTCTCCAGCCCCTCCCCCACCCCTTTAAATACAACCCCTTTTCATGCAACAGAAAATGACTTTCACAAAGTTTTAAGCTGTTCTTTCTGTTGTTGTTACTCTGTTTTTTAAGACAGGATCTCATGTAGCCCAAGCTGGCCTCAAACTCTTCATCCTCCTACCTCTATTTCCCGCGCACTGGGATTACGGGTGCGGAGACCACGTCTGGCAAGTTCTGCATTTTCTACCTTGCAGCAGACAGTGCTACTGGCTGGGGAGGGAAAGTAACAAAGGAGCAGTTGCCCTGCATCTCCTGCACTAAAGGCCTGATTACTGCTGCCACGCTGACCTTTGAAGGCTTCCCTAGTCACCAAGATTGCTATCACCTGGGGCCTTCGCACAGATTATTTCCCAGATATGGAGTCTGCCCCCTCCTCTTTTCACCCCGTCCCTCCATACTGTGGCTGAAAGGCCTCTTCCAGAGGAAGCTGCTTCTGGCAGCCAGGCTCTTGGGCAGCATGGGACAGTGTTACATGTTGGTAGCATCTTGTCGCTTTCTTTCATGGTGCATCCTGCACCTGTGTTTGCAGATGGCTTGAACTTATTGAATCACCATCTGCCTCACACTAGACTTGGAGGTGCCACAAGGACAGAAGGGTGTTTTAGCGCACAGTACACTACATAGAGTGATTTAGTTCTCAGCTACCCAGAAAAGCTCCCTTGCTGACCGAGCAGTACTTACCAAAATGTCTTCAGCAAACTGTTTGTCCCCAGCCTCCACCAGACCTCTCCCTGGGCTCTTACTAGCATACCAGCTGAGGTTTCCCATGTGACAGCTACTTAGATGAGGCAAGTCCCTGCCTTGCTCTGCCCATTGTACTCTCCTTGAGTTGTGACTTAAGACTTAGAAGCAAGGCCATCTCCAGTGAAGGTGCTGGACTGCCTGCAGCAGAGACACACACAGACACACGGACACACAGTCACACACAGACACACACACACACAGACACACACACACACACACACA